GAGAGCGGACAGCAAGAGGAGGGAGAAGGAACAATGGAGGAGCTGAGTGGACTAGTTGGAAACATACCAGTACAACCAAGGTATAGGCTTAATAATTAACGTTATCAAAACAATATTTAGTATTGATCCTTTTTCTACATTGCAGACTCATGTACATGTACATGTAATACAAGATAATTGGGAGTTGATATTGGCAAATCAGTGGCTCATTAAATCAAGCATTTTTGGGTTAATTGAGCTTGCTCAATGACATTTGGTACTTCAAAATGGCCTATATAAACTTATCACTTACTTTTTACAGACAATTTATTTGCCAAAACACTTTTGATAATAAATTGTCTTGTACAGTAAAAATACATTGAAAAATCATCATTTTTTCATTGATGCATGTGCAATGTTGTAGGTTTACCCTCTCAGTCTGTCGGTCGTTGCATTCTCATGTAGTTCAGCTAGTAAAGGATCAGCTGGGTAAGAGAGGGCTCCAACCATCAGACGTTATACTGAGAACTAACATCAAGTTCCTGACCAGTGCAGCTGGACTCGCTGAAGTAAGACTCTTTGTTGCCGAAAAATTTGAACAATGGGTTCAAAACTCTAAGGTATTGTATTGGATACTTTATTAGATATCCTATATAACTCTCTCTCCCTCCCTCCCTCTCTCTCTCTCTCTTTCTCTCCCTCCCTCTCTCTCTCTCTCTCCCTCCCTCCCTCTCTCTCTCTCTCTCTTTCTCTCTCTCTCCCCCCTCCCTCTCTCTCTCTCTCTCTCTCTCTCCCTCCCTCCCCCCCTCTCTCTCTCTTTCTCTTTCTTTAGATGGTGAAGCAGGTACAAGAGTTGCTCTCTACAGTCGCCATTAATTCTCATCAGAACACTCCGGAGGATGTGAGAGTCTTAGAGACGCTCCTTAATGTGAAGCTCAAGACCAGATTCTTCTCACAGAACTACGTCTCTTGCATAAAGTGAGTCAAATAGAGAGGAAAGGGACAGAGTACAATTATAGAAAAAATGTACTTATTTTTCATAATAGTATTGTATGCTAATTTATACTTTTATTTTTCTTTTTATTTTTAATTGCTTTTTTTTTCAATACATTGTTCTTATTTTCTTTCTCTTTTAGGGAGTTTGTTAGTGTCCACCAAAGTTACATTAGTATTGTGTTAAGACGAGTAGTTAACAACGAGTTATCTCAGACCGTCCGTCAACCGACCAACATTCAAGTGTTGACCAGCATAGTCCAACAGTATCCTGAAGAATCCATGAAAGTATCTACATTGTACATTTTATTTTTATTTTATTTCTCTCTCTCGTTTCTCTACTCTATAGGTATTAGGTTCTGTATTTCAGGATTTTCTTTGTCGAAAGGAGGATTTCTTGCGCGCTCTGAGAGGGTTCTTACGAGAGCTTGTTAGACGTTGTGAGGGTTTCCCGTTTAGCGTGTTCGCTCGCTCTCTGATGCAACAAAGATCGGAACCGGAGTATAGCGCCTTAGACCAACCTCACAAAGTAAAAATAAAATAAATGAGTAAAACAAAATTAATAATAAATTAATGTCTAGTAATTTATCTCTCTCTTTTTCCTTAGGAGCGAATGGCTACCTCTCTAGCTGATCTCATATCTGTTACTTGTCTCCTCTCAGTCTCTGCTAGTATAAGAGAGCTCTACTCCAGTTACAACAAAGGGGACAAAACTCATTCTCAGTCTCTGGCTCAGTTCTTTGACACTCTTGGTCTGATACAGCGTGATGCTGTCTGGTGGGTCCACTCCATCCTACCAAACTTCCTCAGACCTCAACCCTCCGACTATAAAGCCTGGTAAATAAATACCCTATTACTGTATGTAGCTACTTGTATACTGTATGTAGCTGTTGTATTATTGTATGTAGCTATTGTATTATTGTATGTAGCTATTGTATTATTGTATGTAGCTATTGTATTATTGTATGTAGCTATTGTATTATTGTATGTAGCTGTTGTATTATTGTATGTAGCTACTTGTATTATTGTATGTAGCTGTTGTATTATTGTATGTAGCTATTGTATTATTGTATGTAGCTATTGTATTATTGTATGTAGCTGTTGTATTATTGTATGTAGCTATTGTATTATTGTATGTAGCTATTGTATTATTGTATGTAGCTATTGTATTATTGTATGTAGCTGTTGTATTATTGTATGTAGCTATTGTATTATTGTATGTAGCTATTGTATTATTGTATGTAGCTATTGTATTATTGTATGTAGCTATTGTATTATTGTATGTAGCTGTTGTATTATTGTATGTAGCTGTTGTATTATTGTATGTAGCTATTGTATTATTGTATGTAGCTATTGTATTATTGTATGTAGCTATTGTATTATTGTATGTAGCTGTTGTATTATTGTATGTAGCTATTGTATTATTGTATGTAGCTATTGTATTATTGTATGTAGCTGTTGTATTATTGTATGTAGCTATTGTATTATTGTATGTAGCTATTGTATTATTGTATGTAGCTGTTGTATTATTGTATGTAGCTGTTGTATTATTGTATGTAGCTATTGTATTATTGTATGTAGCTATTGTATTATTGTATGTAGCTATTGTATTATTGTATGTACAGTTAAGTTTGTGTCTCTGTCATGCACTTTTTTTATTGTTTTGTACTACATTGTAATTTTAGCATTTTTACTATTATTATGAATTCCTAAAATTAGTTCAATTATTGCCGTTTTTAAATATTTATCTATATAGATAAATAAATGATTTATTGTATCCTTTAGTCTACGTAAGGTATTATTCCTGGAGCCTCATGATTCTTATTGCGGTAAAGATAACTGGCCACCAGAGACTGAGAGAGGAGCCATTCTTCAACTGATGACAGAGTGCTCACTGAAGGGAGACACTCTCATGAGAATACTGGTCATAGGCCTGGATAGGGATTTGCCTCTATCCCCGAGTGATGCTCTAGATATCACTGATAAACTGGTTGCTAGAGCAGCCAATGTTCATACTAATGGTGAGGAGGGAGGAGAAGAGAGAATTAATGTTTATCGTGTTTTGTGGCCCAAAATTTTTTATTAATGTTGTAAATTTTGAATATTTAATCCCTCAATTAAGACATAGCAATGTTTGCTGGCCATTTGCACAAATTTTTGAGTCCACGAATGTTTTTTTTTCTTTAGATATTCCTCGTGTTCCATCATTGGATAAGAGAGAGCTCTTTGATGCTATTTTTGATATAACTGCCTATCGTCCTCCCTCCTCCATAATGCTCCCAAAGTCTTACAAACCTCCCGATCTTGCCATCTCTAAGTTGTATTGGAAAGGATGGCTCCTTCTCCTTGTACTAGCTGCCTTTAATCCTAAAACAATTGGTAAAGCATCAATCTCTTTGCTTCTACTTTCCTTTATATTTTTCTTCTTTATATATATTTTTTATCCCTATAATTCTTCATCTCTCTCTCTCTCTCATTGTATAAAGAATTCTCATTTTACCTTTTACTTAATGAATGTATTTTTCTTCCATCTCTCGGTGCTCTGTTTCTTATTGTGTTTGTGCTTGATGTGGTAATGATTCATTTTTAGGTTCAATAGCTTGGAGTGAGTACCCAATGCTGCAGGCTATGATGATAATGGTCATGACTAATGAATATTCACATTCACTGACCATTGCAAAGTCCAACAGAGAAGCATCATCATTACAAGAAGAGAAGGTACATATGTAGTTTTTAAAATGGCCATAATTCGAGAAATTTTAATCGGAATTGGCTCAAACTTTCTACGTTGCATAAAAACATCAATATGCATCAGAAAATGTAATAAAATTTGGGGTGATTTTGGGGCCATTTTTTGGAAAAAACCATGGGCTATAGCCTTGGGTAATTTTCAAAAATTTGCTTGTTTTTTAAAATGGCCATAACTCAAGAAATTTTAATCGGAATTGGCTCAAACTTTCTACACAGCGTAAGGACATCAATATGTATCAGAAAATGTAATAAAAATTGGGGGTGATTTTGGGGCCATTTTTTGGAAAAAACCATGGGCTATAGCCTTGGGTAATTTTCAAAAATTTGCTTGTTTTTTAAAATGGCCATAACTCAAGAAATTTTAATCGGAATTGGCTCAAACTTTCTACACAGCGTAAGGACATCAATATGTATCAGAAAATGTAATAAAAATTGGGGGTGATTTTGGGGCCATTTTTTGGAAAAAAAACCATGGGCTATAGCCTTGGGTAATTTTCAAAAATTGGCTCATTTTTCAAAATGGCCGTAACTCAAAAATTTGAGCTCAGAATCAACTCAAACTTTCTACGTAGCATAAGGACATCAATATGTATGAAAAAATATAATAAAAATTTTTTATGTTTTCGGAGCCATTTTTGGAAAAAACCATGGGCTATAATAATAGTACGGGGTATTTTTTAGAATTGCCATTATTATTTGGACAGAATAATGGCATCATTTTATTTCTTCCTCTAGATAGTCCAAGAAGAGAAAGAGGTGATATTGACATACGAGAATCACCTAGCTGTATCTTCATCATCAACTGAAACTGAAGTGACAGAGTCAAACAGTTACCTCTTGAATCAAGTGATGTTGCTTGACCCCAGAGGACCAGCGAGGAAGCTTCCCTCTTCAGCACTAGAGCTTATAAAGACTGTCAATGGCTCATTGAGATTAGGCCAGTTACTGTGTCAGTGCAGACAGCCTGACTTCCTGCTAGAGATAATACAGCAACAGGTGTGAGCCCAAATTATACACTTGTATATCTACATTGGTATATTGCTAAATTGAATACTAGGTGAATGTAAACATTGAGGGGGTGAGCATGAGCCATCGATTGACTAAGATTAGCATAATTATATCAATCTAGCTCTTAGTTTATTGTTATTTATTTTTAATTTTATTATAAAAATAAAAATAAAAACATTAAAAGGGCGACCCTAAGCAAGCTATAGATTGTGTCCTGTATGATGTTACATGAATGGGAAAGCAAAGCAATTTTACACGTTTGAATAACAGTAGATCATGCTTTTGCTCGCCCCAATTAAACAATTATGCTCAAGCTTAATATTTCTATTTGTTTTTGTGTCTCCATTTATTTCTCTTTCTCTTTATTTGTAGGGCACCAGTAAAGCAATGTCGTGGTTGAGAGATCTTATAGATGGGAGTCATTCTTCACTGGATGTTCTTCCTGTCCCTTGTCTGTGTGAGTTCCTCATCACTAGCTATCAGGAGAAGAGGTCCCTCGGTAGTTCTGCTAAGCATGATGGCTCTGATGCTGATGGAGCTGGATCTCATCGGACTCACTTTAAGAGACGACAAAGGACAAAAGAGAAGGTGATGGAGTAGTACATCCTAATAGTACATGATGTAGTGAAGGAGCATGTGGCATCAGTGCTTCATCAGCTGACAACATGTAGCTTTTGAAGCAACTTTAAAAATTCAGTAAAAATCCAATTTTGATCGGAATCTGCTCAAACTTTCTACACAGCATAAGAACATGTATATGTATCAGAAAAATTATAAAAGTGAAGAATTCTCTCCTAGTCACTTTTGGCAAAAGACCCTGTACTATAGTACAGGGTCTTTGGCCCGATTTTTGAGTAACTTTAAAAATTCAGTAAAAATCCAATTTTGATTGGAATCTGCTCAAACTTTCTACACAACATAAGAACATGTATATGTATCAGAAAAAATTATAAAAGTGAAGAATTCTCTCCTAGTCATTTTTGGCGAAATTTGGCCAAAGACCCTGTACTATAATAGTACAGGGTCTTTGGCCTGATTTTTGAGTAACTTTTAAAATTCGTAAAAAATCTAAAATTGACTGGAATCAGCCCAAACTTTTTGCGCAACATAAGAACATGTATATGTATCAGAAAAAATATAAAAATGGCAAATTCTCGGCTTTTCATTTTTTTTGAGTACTCTGTGCTATGGCACCAAATTTGGAGAAGCTTTGTATAAGTGTATTTTTGATTTAATAAAAATGCCACAAACTTTATAGTTACTTTTGGTAAGCTTTTAGTAATAATTATTTATCATTTTTTGTGCAGGTTCATTATCAACACGATCAGATTATCGGTCGTTTGAGGTCACTAATATTCAGTTCATCCAATCCTGAGAGTGTACTGGATATACTGGAGTATTTCATTAGTAAACTAACATCATCATCTTCCTCGCAGTTAGCACTAAAAGTAATTAAAGTACTAACTATTATAAACGATTGTAAAATGGTGTGAGAGCAATGCGGTAGTATAATTTTATTTTTAAAAACTTGTTCTCTCTCTTTGTTCTTCTCTCTCTTGCTTTCTTAGTCATTGCAAGATATCCTCCTTCCAAACTCTCCTCCAGGAGGATCAATGGACATTAAAAGTGAAGAGAGGCCCTCCTCTTCGTGGCTTTTAAATCACATTCCATCTCTGAGCGTTTTTCCGACCATATCGACCCAACTAGTCTCGTCTGTTCTCAAAGCTTGCTGTCATGAGCTAAACACGCATCTCTTCATGTCTTACCTGCTCTTTATCACCACTCACTCCCCAAGAGACAACAGGCTCCCGTTAATAGGTACAGAGCTAGCTGTCCTTCTCTCTAGAAGGTTCCCTTTCTTTAAGAAAGCTTACCAAAGTGCCCAGTCTCCTCTCCAACTCCTCCTCTCTCTCCTGGACCTGTTCCAGATTACACTGGAAGCAGCTGTGAAACAAGACTTTCAACCGCCTTCATCTTATCCTGAAGCTGATCTTGTAATCCTCTCCCTCCCTTCTCTCTCAGACGATTGTGAAATTGTCGTTGTTACTCAATTCGTTGATGCTGTTTTTCTAGTTCTTTCCCTCATGCCACCAGGCAGCCCATTGACCAGCCCAGGGGAGTCCCTCTTTAATGCACTATTACCAGACAGTGAGCAGGGGAGACCAGCTCAGGCTCTTTCCATGGGGACCAGAGAGCCACAGCAGCTAGCAAAGGGACACGTACTAGAGACTCTCTTCATTAATCCTAACACTGACCTCACGCGTAGACTCATCAGCACTCTAAATGAGAAGCAAGTGTGTCACCTACTCTCACTGTATGGCGTACCATTAGTTAATATGGACCTTGTTCTTTATACATTAGATCAAATGTGTGATAATGATGACTTTGTTCTATATCCTGATGTTAAATCTCTACTAGGTCAAGTGAGGAGGCAGCATATACGTGGTTGTACTAGCGGACACAAGTTTCTCTCTTACCTAGCGACCAGGCAGCAGAAGCAGCAGCATCCTAAGTATTCCTCTACTACTAGTAGTGTCTCTATCAATAAGAGGACACAAGATGAGGAGGTTCCTATGTCTGTGTGTCCTACTACTGCTACTGTGTCTTTGCTCAGTATTGAAGAAGCTGTTTCGATTGTTTTTGAATCACCAGATGACCCTAGATCTGGGCCAGCTGCTCAGAGATTGGTTTTGTATCTGTTGTCTTTACTGAGAGATGATCATTATTTGGATGCTAAAGGAACAGACTCATCTGTACTGGGTCTTATCATTAACAAAATGTCCTCCATTTCTCCGTCTTCTCTCGATCCTGTCTTCAAGCAGTCATACTCATGGAATCTGTTCCATTTAATAGCTCGCTCACTCCTTAAGCTCTCCCCTACTCTCACTAAAGCTTATCTTGAGTCCTCTCTCTCTATCATCAAAGCAACTGGCTCTGGCTCCAAACCCAGACAAATACTTGGGTCTTGTGTGGCACTCTTAACCCCCCAGCCGCTTAACATCCCTTCCTTCTCTTTCAACAAAGGCTCTCACGCTAGCAAATCTCCTGGCATCGTCATCCAGCCTGGGCATGATTTAGAAGAGACGCTGCTTCCCTTTGCTCGTTATTCCATACTCAACGGATCCCAGGATCACTTCATAGACTCCTTATTGAAGCTAAGGGCTAGGGTACCATCAGTCAAAGGCCTCCTCTGTGATATTGCAGAGCTAATGGATCCTGAATTAGTACTGGTTTCTCCTCTAATGCATGTTAGTCTCTTCTCTCAGTCCGAGGATGTTGTGTATTTGCTGGAGAAGTTCCTTCATCATGTTTCCCTGGCTACACTCCAGGCTACACTAGTCAAGGCATTGAGCACCCCTCCTGAAAAGTGAGTTCTTTTTTGATATTTTGTATTATTATTTTATTTCTTTGTAGAGATGTCAGTTCTTCTTTGTTGTTGAACCTCCTCTGGGCTAGTTTGCACTTGCCTAATCTCTGGCAGGGGAAAGTAAAGAAAGAAGCAATCATAGACAGCAATTTATGCATGGTAATGCTTGATAATAATAATAATGATAATGATTGATAAACTGTTGTTATACTTTTTGTATTTATTTTATATTAAAGGGAATTGAAGAGATTCATCAGTTAGAGCTCTCCACCAATCAGTTGCATAACATTGTCGAGCACATTTTGAAAGAAATGTCACAAAGTCATGATAATGGCAGGAGCCACTGTTCACTGCTCTCATCAACCTACCTACCACTACTGGTTACCTGTTCCAGGAATAAAACTAGAATGGTTGCCAGATATATATCAGAGTATGTTATAGAGGAATTAAATGGTTCAAGGGAATAGTATCACTAGTATCATGTGGTCCAACTATTATGTTTTGTGCTAGTGGAAGCTATTATTAGTATGCATGTACTTGTACAGTACATGTACATGTACATGTACTGTATGTGCTTTGTAGCTTTAACTATAAGTATGTACATGTACAAGTAGTAATTTGGTATATGTAGGTGTGTTTTTGTAAAAGCTGATACATTTAAGATCCATGTGTCGGTTTCTTTATTAAATAACTGTGGTTTATTATTTTTGTGGTAATATATACTCCCACACCTGTGTTGTCTGAAACAATACAGTGGCCCAATAGTGTATTCTGTTATTATTATTACTATTATTATTATTATTATTATTATTATTATTATGTTGATGTTTATTAAACAGGCATAGCTCCAGTCATGCCCCATACCTATTATTACTATTGTATTATGGTGATCCATCAGTTAGCTCATTCCTAAATCATTCGATTTACTCTGAGCCTTCGTCTTTCTCTCTTCCATCCAAGGTAAGTGAGAAATGGAAGTCGATTACTAATGCCTTTGTTTTATTGAATAAAGATGGACTCCTATCTTCATTACCTACTCACTGCAATGACCAACGTGTCTTCGGAAATTGATTCTAATGTCCGTAGAATGACAGCTGCTAGTTTATTGTGTCGACAGATATCAGTTGCCCACCCATTACTGATCTTAAGGTAAAGGGAGTAGCTCCTGTACTTATTACACAGTATAGCCTCTTTACATTACATAGTATAGTACAGTATAGTATAGTTTTATTGTGGGCAGCTTTGGTTACATGCAGGAGGAGGCTAGTGACAGTTATTATGTACACAAAAACACGTGCAGTCAGTTTAATTTTAATGAACTAAGTTAATATTTATAGGCATCTGCCTCTCCTTGGTTGCCTTTTGAAAGGCCGGACTCATTTGAATTCAAGAAAGTTCAGTTCTCAGCATCAAATTGTCTTCAATAATATATTCCACTTGCTTCATTTGCTGAGGCCGCTAATATTCTCTAAGGTACTTCTCCTTCTTCTGTATGTCCCCATTACGTCTCTAATAAATATACTAATTACTACACGTATGTACAATCAAGTGTAATTTGTCTATGATTATTGTATTATCTTGTTTTGGTAGAGCGCTGATCTCGAGTCTTGTTTGGAATCTTTCATGTCCTACTTGAAAGTGAGTGCCTCCATGTAGCCCAGGCTACCATGTAATCCTATACTACGGCATGTCACCTGAAACTTCTTTGATGGCCTCTGTGTTTGCCACAAGACCTTTGGGATAGGTAGCTAATGTGCATTGTTGCTTTATTAAATTATGGTTGCTAGTATTCATTGTTCCTTTGTGTGATTATGGTTTCTAGTTACTTTTGAAGGTGTACTAGATCATCTTAGCTTTAACTTGTTGTATTTCACACAGAACCAGTGCCTCAGTGCTTCGGTCCCACACAGTCTCTTTAATAAAGTATTGTCATTTCTCACCGAGTACTGTCAGCAGTCGCGAGATCAAGCACGAAAGTTCCTCTCCTCACACTCTGAAACTTTAGAGTATGTTTTCCATACAATAATCTCATTAGTGTGTGCGTGTGTGTGTGTGTTTACTTATCACACTCCATTCATTTTCTTTGTTTGTTGTGTATGAGACTTTTAGTTCATTATGACATTTTAGTTGCATGATGATGGTGATCATGATGGAGATGTACTTTGCAATATTTTCATTTTTCAGCTTGTATTATCTTTATTTCTTTCATAGGAGTTTAAGAGATGCCTTTCCAAAGCAAAAGAAAGTTCTACAGGAAATTCTAAATGTCCTTCCATCCAAATCGAAGGGTTCTTTTGTCCGCGAGAAATCCCTTGAAATTGAGGGAACGCCCCCCGTGTCATCACTACTGACACAGAGTCACTCTTATACACAAGTACTCCCTTTTTTAAGGAAATTAGAATACGGACAGACTCAAGAAGGTATGCTAGTAAAAGTACTGGTATCTAATGTCATCCATTGGTATAGATGTATTACAAGTTTTAAAGGATCTTGAAGACAGCTCTCTTAGATCAATAGACATCCTTCATCACTTCATAGTAGGTACCAGTACTGTGAAAAGACTAAGGCTCCTCCATCTTTCCCTTTTTAGCCTGTCCTTTGTCGTGTTATTCAGAGCTCTGATATCTCTTGTGTCAAGATAGCTCACGAAATCATCTTACGATACCTGAGGCACGATCCATCTTCATTGCCGGACATACTACCCTCAATAATGGCGTCGCTAAATTCACCAAATTACTTAATATCTATGACTGCCATACCTTACATAGGGGAAATAATACTTCTCTCATCAGGTAAGAAAAAGTTCTTAATGAGTGCGTCTTTGGTTATCTGTCATTCTTAGGTAAAGAAGCATCTCAATTGCTCTCTTGTCTGTTTCATTATGCTGTGGCATCGCCAGTCAACTGTGGCCAGGAGTTGAAACAAGTTGTTTCGTCACTCACTCTGCATATAGCAGTTTAAAAGCACCTATTTTTCTCACCTTTTCTTGTCATTTTTGTTGTTGCAAAGATATCTAATTTTATCTATTAATGTGGGCGTTGTTCATGCAATACCGTATAGCACAAAAATTTGGCGAATAGAGTTTCATTCGCCAAAATAAAAACCGCCATTTTGAGCCTTTATACGCATGCTCAATGGCACGTGGCCACTAATCCGCCAATAACCAAAATTTAGCAATTCGCCAAATTTTACTCCCTCCAAAATTTCCAGCTATACGGTATCCTGTATTGGAGTATTAGAAATAGATTAGACCAGAAGAAGTAGATCTATTCCAATCTCGTTGGGCAAAGGTTGGAAATGGAGAGTGCTAGTAAGAGAAAGCATCATGATGTGACAGTTATTGGAGCAGGATGGTCTGGAGTTACAGCTACCAAGTACATGTTGGAAGAAGGGCTCACTGTTGTAGCTCTGGAGAGAAGAGATAGGCTGGGTGGGCTATGGTATTACTCTGATGATCCTACTGAAAAGACTGTC